GCACATGGCTGCAGGCAACCAGCTGAAAGTCAAAGTGGTCACACTTCGATATAAAAGTAGCGAAACATGAGTTGGTCACACCGCAAAAAGCTTGTGATAATGGATTTGGATTTGATGGCCGCCTCAATAACTGTCCCATTCTCGGCATTATTCTTGTTCAGGCTTTTCCAATGGGCAGTGAGGCTTCGCGATGAGGGCGCCTCCTCGGCCGTCAGATCACAGATCCGGGCCAGCGGCATTGCCGGACGCATCCGATTAATGCTGCATTCAGGCTGCGATTGCCAGCGGGCTTGTGTACGTTCACCGGTTCGTTGCTGTTGATAAAGAATGAAAATTCAATGAGAATCAAACTTATTTAAGTAGGTTATCTAACACTTGCCCATTTCTATCCAACTCCTGGGCGGACTGGACATTGCACAATTTTCCGGGTCCATAGGAGTGCTCCAGCTCAGAGTCCTCATCGTCATCGTCGTCCGCATCGGCCTCGTCGTCTTTGCTGAGCTGGCTGAAAACGAAAAAACGTAAGATGACAAGAGGGTTCTTGAAAGCCTTGACGTGTACTCACAGCGAAGCCTTCAGTGTGTTGTGCCTGTTATTCTTGCGCAGGCGCTTCAGCTCCGACTCGCGCGACTTGAGGTCCTGTAGCCCCTGCTGGATCTTCTGCTCGACGGGCACAGCCTCGACGCAACGGCCTGCCTTCTAAGTCCCGATCGATGGCTGCCGGTGAGAAGAGATGCCGTTCTCCAGAAAGGCCAACGCCGTGCGTGTGTTCAGCTTGAGGGTGTTGCTGTTGCTGCTCCGATTTAAAATTGATTGGTTCCGGAACAAACCTCTGCATCACGCTTCTGGGGCAGGCCGCTTAGCTGCAAAGTAGAAATGGTCCTGGTGATGAGCTTCTGCTTCTGCTGCGGCGGTTCCGGTGTCATGTTGCGGCAGTTGGGTCCAATGTAAAACTGCTCCTGGCGGGTGATCACGGTCAGCTTGGGTTGGAGGTTGTTGTTGCTCTGCGAGGAGTCCGAGATACCAGAGTCATCCAAATGCTGGCCATCGAGGCTCTACTCCCAGCGAGGGTGTGCTGGATAGCTCATCAATGGGGAGCAGGAGCGAAGTGGTATGCACTGCCGCCGGCCGTGCTGTGACCAGCACGCCCTGGTCTTGATCCAGCTCATCCCGATCCTGTGGCTGCTCCTGAGTGCATTCACCATAACCTAAGACGTAGGATGTCAAAGCTGCATGTGGTTTCATGCCAGCAATCGATAGTCAAAACTGCGTATGGTTGCTTGCCAGCAATCGATAGTCAATGCTGCACATTCCTCTGCTGCACATGGCTGCAGGCAACCAGCTGAAAGTCAAAGTGGTCACACTTCGATATAAAAGTAGCGAAACATGAGTTGGTCACACCGCAAAAAGCTTGTGATAATGGATTTGGTCGAACTTTTTTTTAAAGTAGTGATGGCCGCCTCAATAACAGTCCTATTCTCGGCATTATTCTTGTTCAGGCTTTTCCAATGGGCAGTGAGGCCTCGCGATGAGGGCGCCTCCTCGGCTATCAGATCACAGATCTGATCACAGATCATCTTATTTATGCTGCATTCAGGCTGCGATTGCCAGCGGGCTTGTGTACGTTCATCGGTTCGTTGCTGTTGATAAAGAATGAAAATTCAATGAGTATCAAACTTTTTTAAGAAGGTTATCTAAGGTTATCTATTTCTATCCAACTCCTGGGTCCAATGTCCAGTACATTGCACAATTTTCCGGGTCCATAGCAGTGATCCACCTCAGAGTCCTCATCGTCATCATCGTCCGCATCGGCCTCTTCGGACTCGGAAGATCTTTCATTGGAATCTCTTCTAGACACTCACCTATACAGCATTCTTTTCGTAACGACTCTTAACTCCATGTTGTTATACAGCTTGATTTCGTTAAGCTGCGCTAGATGCAAAGGGTAGAAATTAATTTATGTGACGCTCCTTAACTTAACTTAGCTCTGTACTCTCCCACTGCTGGCACCATGCACGGTAGCGGAGGCGGTGCACCCGGACAGAGCGGCGTTGGTGGTGGCATCGTGGTCGGCGCCATCGGTGGCGGTGGCGGCGGTATGGTCTTGAAAACGGCCGACGGCGGCGGTGGCGACAAAGCTCTATTCAGCCATCCAGAACGGCCACCTTCCGGTCATCGGGTATGCTGCCCTAGGTGACCAGGCGCTCGAGACGGACCCGCACCCGCTGTTCACTAGGCAAGCGATGCTAAAGATCTACAAAAAAGATGTGCAAAATGACTGTCATTTTTCGAAAATAGTAGTGTAAAATTAGCTGGTCACACTACAAAAAATTGTAAAATTTGATATGGTCATACAACCAAAAAGATATGGTCACACTTTCTTTAAAAGTTAACTGCCAATTTTAAATTCAAATTTAAATAGGCTGTCAGTACCCGTCTTATCAGTAAACCGACAAATTTGAATAACTATTAAATCAAACTCCAGCTTTTACTTTGAATTTTTGTATTTATTATTTTCGTTTCTTACATTTTCAATTTCGTTTCGGTACATTTTGAATGCGTTTATTAAAACTCGTATTTTTGGTTTTTTTAGGATCTGTTTTGTGTTAAAAAATGAAAAGCTAACAATCTTTTAAATGAGCTCTATTTGCTTGACATAAAACGTGTGTATATTTTTTTTTTCATTTTATTGTTAACGTAATACAGTACTTTTAAATATTTTTAAATATATTAATTGTTTTTTTTTTTTTACTGCTGCTCATTGTTTTTTTCTTTGTTTTTCTTCTGTTTTCAATTACCAAGAGTGTTAATTGTGTTTAATTGTTGAAATTTAAAATCGAAAGGTACAATTTGTGGTTAATATTTATTTTGAAGCATTTGACATCAATTTGATTTATTAAGTTTATTACTGGCTGTAAATGTATCTCTATTCGTTACGAAACTTGGGAAAATAAATTCGTATATGCACCCATCGTGTCATTAATTTACAAACAAATAAAAAAAACCAATCAGGAAATTTACTTCGGGATGCCGAAGTTTATATACCCTTGCAGTTTTCAATCGAATTGAAAATAGGATGCTTAAAAATTCCCCTTAAAATTTATATTTATTGAGATTTTTATGACAATTTTTTCGACAAATAAAAGTTTAAAAAAGTCATAACTAAGGCAAAAATTCATTCATTTTTATTAGGACAATAAATCTACGGAATTTAAAATTTAAAAGAAATCAAATTTTTTGCGTTTTTTTTTTAACTTAACCTCTTTTGCTTTTGTTAAAAAAAATGTATAAACATTTTTATTTCTGCTGGAAATGGCTAGAAAGATTCGCCTGTTGATGCTGATCAAGAATATTAATAGGATCGGAAATGATTCCTTTACAGCTTTAAAAGCTTTTGACTAAAATTATAATACCCTGCAAGAGTAAAAAGGCAATGAACCCAATGGGAAATGCTTGAAAAGATAAATGTAGCTTAAGTATTAAATAATAACAAATGCCGTGTCCTCTCAAATGCCATTAAATTAATATCAATCTAAAGGTTAAGGACACTGCCTCCATGTCCCTAAGGGGAAGAACTCACATTGGAATTAAATTTAAAAGTCTATCCGCCTGCGTATTACACTAACTTTTTTGCTAAAGGCCTATGCTACGGGCCGCGGCAGTGTTCCAAAAACAGAAATCCCGAATGACTTCAAATCCCTTTAAAGGATACCCAAAGGGTGTCTGGATGAACATTTAGTTCAAATCATTTAAATATTTCTGTGTTGTTTCATCCAATGTGGTTTTCTTCCCCCAAACTTAATGCTAAATTACAAATTGGGGTTTTAAGAGGCCGAGTTGAAGGTCCTTGAAGGAACGACTGTGCTGTTATATTTTTGCTTTAGCACATTTTTTAGAAACCCTCTCAAGGACTATCAACACTTATACATAATCTTAACTTCGTTGTGATTTCTACATTATTCAATAAACAATAACAATAACGAAAACGACTAACCAATGATGCCTCCCAGTTATCGGGGAAAGATGAGGGATCGTGTCTATATAGATATAGGTATGTGTATAACAAACTTTCCTTTCCTTTCCTAGCTTGAGAGAGAGTGAGAGAGATATATAGAGAGATAGAGAGAGAGAGTGAGTGAGTGTGTGTCTTGAGTGTGAGGGAGACAAATGCAATGGGTGTCCTTAATTGTTGTTATTGCAATTTTTAATGCAGGTCTCCTGCAGCATTCCGTCCTCAATTTTCAACCAATTTTATATTTTTATTTGAGCTTTAACAATTGTCAATGATTTCCGTTACCTATTCGGCTTAGTTCTTCTCCCCATAGATTATATAAACAAATTTAACATTATATGCATGCTCGTTACGTTTTGACTCGATTTGGATTTTGCCAGCTGCAAATAGTTTCGCTATAATATATCAATATCAATCAATTGTTTACTTTTACATAATATGCATTACTTTTTCTGGTAGATTGCAATTAACTTCTCTCATCTGTCACGTTATGAATGTATATTTTCATTATATAGGTGTATAATTAGGCTATAAATATTTGATTCTCCGAATGATTCGACTCTTCGTTCTGTCAAAATTTTAATCTCCAAATAAATTGGTAATTATAACTACAAAAATTTAAAAGTGAGGCTGAACTCGTCTGAACTCTGGCTCCGGCTAAAATCCTGTCCCTGACTAAAATCTAACTGAGTGAGAAATCATCATGAGACCCACCACAACGGTCGCTTGGGAATTACAATATATATAATATATAATTTAGTATTACGTCTATTACTTGATACGCTACTGGGTATCGCTATGAGGTTGCATCTACTCCGCATGCAACTAGTACACTTCTCCTGCTTACCGACTATGTTCATAAGAATTATGTAAAGTCGCGTGAGTGTGCGCTGCTCTGCGATCCCGGGGAGGGATCACAATGCAGTCTGAGCTAGGCTGAGGGCTATGACTATCCAAGTACCAAGATGCTAAACAAATGCGTCAACAATTCATTGATTAAAATCGAAATTAGTTTGGATTTTACGGTTGGCTCGCTTGGTCGGCTCGCCTCACTAGCAACGCTTTACAAATTTGGTTTCGAGTGTTTGGGCTTGGTTGGGGCTTTGAGCTTTGGGTTTTTCTAGGCCTTGAACAGCTGCGGAAACTCATTGGCTATTTCCCGCACTAGCTGCTGATCGGAGGCACTGCACTCCGTCTCCTCACAAAAGATGCGCGTGAAGATCTTCATGAGATCGTGCTTGCGGTGCTGATGCTCCTGGTAATTCGTGTTGCGCAGAATGCGTCGGCACAGCTCCAAGTAGCATGGTCGCGTCTGCAAGGGATTCTGGTTAGTGACGGTACGGATAGGATAGCTAGCAAGCACTCACCGAACTTCCCGCATCCAAGTCGGACAGCTGACGCACCACAATATCGATAAGCACCTTGATGTCGTTCGTGTAGAACATGCCTGCCGTGTCCGGATGACTAAATATGTCGATGAACATGCGCAGCACCGTGTTCATGTGCTCGTTGGGGTGCTTGAGAAGCCGCGTGGGATCGTCTGAAAATGAAACCAGATCTCATGAATCTATTCTTTATTATAGATCCCACATGCCGTGTGACTCACCCTCCCGATTGAGCAGGAGCAGCAGCTTCTCCGTGAAGACCTTGGCGGAGGGCAGGTTCTGCATCGCCTCAATAATAACATTGAACGTGTGCTCACTAAACTGCTGGTTAAAGGCCAGTATAAGGGCAATGACCATGTCCACCAGGTGCTCTGGGTTGTTTCCCTCGACGATCTCCAGCAAGAAGCTAGCAAAGTGCACGCCCAAATAGTCTGTAAAGTGAATCCATCTATTATTTCCGAATCAAAGAATTAGAGACAGAAACTTACCCTGATGGTTCACTGGCATAAGTTGTCCGAGCGAGAAAATTATGGTTAGCATCTTAACCAGCTGCTTGAAGCGATCCAGATTGGAGAAATGCGTCTTCATGTCCTCCACCTAAGAGGGTACAAGATTCCAATTAAAATATCTGTCTCTTTGATGATTTCTTGACTCCCTTACTATCTCCAGCGGCAGCACTGACGTTAGCAGTATGTCCACAATAATATAGTCCAAGTGGCAGGCGGCCGTGAAAGTCTTGAGCAGCAGTCGCTTGATGGACCAGCGGGTCTCCATCTGATAGTACTGCACCAGGTTGATGAACATTTGGTACTGGTCACAGGACATTTCATAGCAGCTAATGTTCTCATCAGCGTTGTTCTGAGGGAAAATCAATCGGTGATATAGGTCTATTATGTAGATCCAGGGTTTACTACTCACCAGAATCTCGACCAGCTCTTCGAGGAACTGAATAATGTCCTCCTCATCCTCATACAGCATCCAGGTTCGCTGCTCCGTATCGTTCTTGCAGTCAGCCAGCTGGGCGAAGAGGTACTGCAGCCGTTTGGCATCGTGCGTGATGCCCAGTAACTCCTTGGGCGTGGCTACCTTGCCGGTGACATGGACGGCCACCGCTTCCAGGTACGGGTTGATGGCTCCATTGTACAACTGCTCCAGGCTGGTCAGCACCACGCGCAGCGCCTCGCAAGACAGATCAAAGCTAAGGTTTGTGTTGCGTCGCAACGCGTCCACGATCTGATACACATCCGAGGACTCCACCTTTAGCTGTCCCCGAGTGTAGTTAGCTGCGCCATTGCTGCCACCAGCAGCTCCTTCCTCGGCTTCCCTGCCGCCTTGTGCCCGGTGCGAAGGACTCTCGATGCTGTCCAGTGCCTGGCTATTGTCCGCACTGTCACCGTTAGCCTGACATCCATCGTCGCTTGGCACGGCGCTCGCATCATCCGACTTGTCGGGCGCACTGTCCGCCTCCTCCGGCGGCAAATCCTGATGCAGGGCTCCCGTGCTCCCCCTTCCGCCACTGCCGTTGCCGGCACTGCGCACGGCCGAAGCTGAGGCGGAGGCGGATATGGAGGCAGACGCCGTGCTGCCGTTGAGGGGCTTGTGTTGGCTGGTGCTCATCTGGCTGGTCTCTTTGTAAGTGGTCACCACATCCTCGCTGGTCGTGGTGGTGGTCGTTGTCGTCTCCGACGGCTCCGAAGTGATGCTGTTATCCTGCGCCACATCCCCAGCCGTCTTGGCAGCGGCTGTTGTGGGTGTAGCAGGAGCTTGTGCTGGAGCTGGAGCCGGTGGTGCTGGGAGCGGCTGCTGCTGTTGAGGCGTCTGGATGGTGCAGCTGCTGCCATGGAACTGCATGCTGCCCATGCTGGGCGACTCCACCATGCCCTGGCTTGATGCTGCGCCGCACGAGGATCCCACTGCCGGGCTGGACATGCTCTTTTTGGTCATGTCAAGTCGGTGGGATCCGCTTCCGCCGCCACTACCACCGCTCGGCGGCGGACTATGCTGCCGGTGCTGGGAGTGGAGCTGAGTCTGGGATTGGACTGGGTGGGGATGCGAGTGCCGATGACTGCCCTTGTCGCTGTAGCTGTGCGAATACGAAAGCGAGGAGTCACCGTCGCGTTCAGAGCTCTCCTGAAAGGATGGAAAAAGAAATAAAGGGAATCACAGGAAGGATTGGATTATCATCATTAATTCTCACCGCATATAGCCGCTCCATGGTGTGCTTCTTCTCGCGCAGCCTGTCCAGCAGTTCGTCCTTGGACATAATGCCATTGATCTCGTTGTCTGTACACTTCTCCAGCGACTCGATCGATGAGTTCAAAAAGCTGATGAGGAAGTCGTGCTCCACCTGCAGCGGTAAGACGATAAGTTTTAGAGGAAAGTCAACGTGAGTCTTGGCTTAGCGCCAGCGTTACCTTAATCTTCATTACGTAATTGGAGGGCACGAACCCGATGTTACCCTTCATGCTGACCACCTGCCACCAATTCCGCTGGCGAGCGGAGGTCTGGTACAGGATGAAGTACTCTCCCTCATCAAAGCTTATGGTCTTGGGATAGACCGCCTGGAAGTCGTACAGCGCCTTAAGCATCTCGATGCCGATGGTGCCGCCAATGCCAATACCGATGCCAACGTCAGCTCCGCCAGTGGGGCCACCTATGCCTGCTCCCCCGGTGTCTCCGCTATCTCCTCCGGTTCCTGCGGGCAATGTGGGAGCTGCTTTTGTTGCTGTTGCTGCAATTATTGATATATATAGGATATGCTTAAGGCAGCAAAACTTCCGGATGAGGGCGTCGCCACTCACACTCACACACACTCGCAATCGACACGGGGGAAAATCGGAGAAAATCAGCGGGGCAGAGAAAAATGGGGGAAATAGAAAAGAGGAAAAAACTGCAGTAGACTCTTAAAGGAGTATAAACTGTCTTCGCTTTTTACACGACACTGCACTGAATCGGACTGAACTGAAGTGGACAGGACAGAGCTAAGCAGAACCGGACTGGATGCCACTGCAGTGCAAGAATCCGTGAAGCAATTCGGCAACGGCGTAACAATGGGCGGCGGGAGAAGGCGGAACTTTAGACCAGTGCTCCCACACGGAAAGAGGAAAATGCAATTTTCATATTTTACTCGCATTCGCATTCTCTCTCTCGCTCGCCTTCTCGCTCTCTCCCACTCGGAGGTCCTGCAACAACGCCTTGCGCTTTTGATCCTTTTCAGCTTACATTGTTTTACCCGCACTCACACACACAAAAGCACGGGCACGCGACGTGTATACAGGAGAGGCACGTGTGCTCTCTTTGCCGTTGTTGTTGCTGTTGCCGTCGCTGCGGAAAACTGTGTGTGCGAAAATCTCAACACGGAAAAATCCGTTTCAAAACACAACGCCCCCTCTCTCTTTCTCACTCTAGCTCTCTCTACGCGCGCGCATCTTTTGGCCACTCTCAAGCTCTTACTTGCTCTATCTCTCTCTTTCTCTGGCAAGTCCAGTGATATCCTTAAAAGAGCGGAACTAGTTCCACTTAAGCGTGCATCTTTATGTCCAGCAGTAATTTTTTTGTTACTTGGAATTACTTGCACCTGTGCATTAGGCAGTTCTTAAGGATGTGCTTCCAGTTGTGGTAGAAACCCTAAAAATAGTTAAATTTCTATACTAAAAGAAGCTATAGGTTTCTCAGGGATTACCTCCTTAATCTAAACTTCAACATTAAATCTCCGAATTTTCCCAGGTAATTACGGTTTTAGTTAAATTAAGAATTAATTTATAGGGACCTCTGATCACTTTTCTATATAGGAAGAACCGTTGGAACTTCTGGCACTGATTCCGGAACTTGTCCACGGAAAGCACTTGCTAGACTCTCACATCTATACTGGCACCCCCACTAACACACCACACACACATTGTCAAATGAAAAGGATGTATGGAAATGCGACACAATGAAAATAACAAAAGGAAGAAACGAAAGAACAACAGCACCGACCCGCTCTCCCGCCAACTTACCCATCGTTTCAGGCACACCTTTTACTGTAATTCTGTGTAGTCGGATGTCACCTGTCCCTCGTCCTTCTCCTTCTGCTGCTGCTTCTGCTTGTGCTCCTGTTTCCGCCACAGCCAGTGCCACTTCCCCAAGGACGTTTGCATACACATATATCAAATCGGTTGTTCCGTTGCGTTCCTTTGCTTTCCTTCTCACCTTCCTCCACCGCCTTCGTTGGGATGGGCGTTTGTTGGCTACCCTTTCTGCTCCGTTTCGTATCCAATGTCTTGCGGCTGCTTAGTAACACTCTTCTGGTTGCTCAGTTCCTCTGTTCTGCCATCACTTGTTGTTGTCCCTGTTGGCCACTGCTCATGAATGCCCCTGGGTTCCCTCCGTTTGTTCGTAATTCACTTGATAAATTTTGATGCTCGCCGAGATGCGCTTGTTTTTATTTTTACTGTTTTTCAAGTCTATCTATCTCTGTTTTCAAGGCTTCGTGTCTCTCGGCTTGCTTCTCTCGTACTGTCGTCGCACACACATACACTACCATAATGTTTAAACTGTTGTGTATGAATATAGAAAATGCATAAAAAGGATGAGTGACAAATTGCTGGCGTGGTTCTTGTTGGTGCTGAGCGTTGTTGTCGCTCAACGCAATAACAACAAATTAGGATTGCACACAGCCGCCGCCGCCGCCCAAAAAGCCGCACATCACGCCCGCACACACACACGCGTTTTGTATACACACGCACAAGGGCTAACGGTGACTCGAGTGCTTTTATTGCAAAGACACAGTTTTAAGAATTATTTAACGAAAGTTTAATCACACTTAAATTAGCCGTCTTCAATATGTAAGCCCAAACGAATACTAGTTAACATTTAGCAGTATGGCCGCAAAGAGATCAACAAACAAACATTATCCAATCACTTGTTTTTGTTTCTCTCTTTTGTCGGCTCTCCCCACGATTAGACACTGGCGTAGGCACGAGCCCTTGAAGGGGGCTTTAGCTTTTTGATCAATTGTGTAATTATATTTATAAAATTGTGGTAGCATATTAAAAAAATATTACAGATTAATATTGCACGCGATCTTATTATTTATATATACTCCTTTATATAAGTATACTGCTTTAAACAAACTAAGCCATCTAGCCTTCCAAAACTTGATCCCTTCTGAAAAAGCCACTGCCAGACCCATAGCTAGAGATGAGACATTTACCGGCTGTTGCAATGTGTTATCGTTATCGCACTTTGAGATCTGGCCCACCAGCTTGGCGGCGGATCAATTCAAATAAATAGCTTTCTCAGTTTTGGTAGCTTGTGTGTTTTTCGCAAAACGTTTTTTATTTTCACTGAATAATTAGTTTTATATGGCGACAGTACATAGTGTTGAGGCGGATCTATGGGTTGTTATCAAAATACTGTTTGGAGAGGAGGGCAAGCAAATAAATGGGGCTGTTTATCGTTTGTTCGTTATAAAAATGTTAATTAAATGCTGAAAAATCTTACAAATTGGCTGGCAAATCTTGTCTAAACATTTTGACTGTGTATATAATAGTTTACATGTGGTGTATATATATAGTTTTGATTGGTTATAACTGTTGTGTCGTCGTCGTAGCTCCATTTCCATTTCTCGCAATTTGCTATTTAGTCCTATACTAACTTTCCTAACTTTCATAACGGCAACTAGGTATGCATAAGTTCAGTTTCTCATTTCGTTTCCGAAGGCAATTTCATGAAAAGTCCCTAAGTCCGAGCTCACATCAATAGCCTTTTCTTTTTGGGTATCTTTAAATATATATAGTGTGTAAAGTATATCGCTTTATATCGTTTATATATCGTACAATTAAGATTCAACAATGTTTTCCGTTTATTTGCTTGCTTGTGGTCACAATAAATCATAATAATCGTATCATAATAGGGAAACAATCACATACACAATAAATTATAATAGCACAAGAGTTTCTCTCACTTTAGTGTTTTTTTTAAATGTTTTTATCCTTATCATATCTAGGTTTAATAACAGCAGGCCACTTTCGTAGGTGTGTTTGCATGGTGTGTGTGTAGGTGTATATATCTATTAATAAAAAAAAAAAACAACTTTCCATTGTACTTGCATTTATAAGAATAGGAATAATAATAAATATATATATATTTTATTAAACGAAAACAAACAGAAAGACGCTTTTAACCTTGCCTCGCTTTTTGAACTATGTATTCTCTTTCCTATTTTCATCCATCTTCATCCTCTTTTCCTCCTTTTTAGGTCTTGTGGAACGGCACTTGGTTGAGATTTATGTTGTTGAAGCGTGTAGATTTTGTTCGGATCCATCGGGAGGCTCCCCCGATCTAGGACTCGATCACGACAGACATGGCTAGGCTTTGTTGCCCCTTGACCATTCCGGCTGTCGCTGCTCCGAAATTCCGCTTCTGCCCAAATCCCCAGCAACTCTATGCTTCCTTCCTGCTTCCTGCCTTTCTCTGGCGACGCTTGGGCCGCAAAAACATTTGTCCACAATTAGGATATGGGTGCACGCTAATTGTTAATCGTTTAAATTATGCTATGAAAGTAATATTGATAAATGTTGTTGCTCCGCGCCGCTGCATTTCCGATCCGTTCCGCTTCGCTCCGCTTCGATCTCGACATGCCACTAATATATGTACCTCAAACGGACCCACAAAACCCGAATCACATGCGCCGGCCACCGGCGGCCAGCTGCGTTGGACGCGTCCGCAGCGCGCTCCTCGATCATTTCTCCTCGCAGCAGCCGCCGTTCTTGGCCAGCTGCTTCTGCAGCGCCGGTGGAATGAAGTCTTTCGTTTTGGTCTTGGAATGATAACCCTGGCCAAGCAAAGCTGGCTCCACATGCTTACGCTCCTGTATGGCCTGAATGCGCTTCAGCAGGTCGTAGTTGATGCGCTCACTGACCACGGAATCTTGCCTGCAACAGCAAATACGAATACGGGTTAGTTTATCTTTATATTAAGCATATAGTGTGTGTTAATACTCACTTGTAGTCCGGGTGGTTGAGCACCTGCTCGCGCATCCAGGTTGCCGTAGTGATCAGCTCGCCGGCGGCGCGCTTCTCAATGAAGCGCAGATACTGTTCAATGGTGCAATGGGTGTCCGTGTCCACTTCCATGGACTGCAGATAGCTGCGAATAAGCGGCACCAAACCAGGAAAGACATTCGGCTGTAAAGGTCAGAGAATTTGTAAATAAATTTCTGTGAAATAGTTGTCTGGAATTATCGCTTACCTTTCCATTGAAAATCTCGTTGATGGAGAGCAACTGGAACAGCTCATTCTCCTCATCATCGGTGTCGGTGTGGTCGCTGTCCGTGCCATTGCTGGAGCCATTGGATGCGCTGCCGTTGGTGGTAATGCCATTGGTGTCGCCATGTCCATGTCCGTTCATTTTGGACGATCCATTGGTCAGCTTCGGCTCCTCCTTGTCACCGTGGTCGATGCCATTACCGTTAACCGATAGCCCATTGCCATTCTCGGCGGCAACTCCTCCTCCGTTCAAGGTGGCCTTGCCATTGGTCTGGGCATGAGCCTGAGCCTGCGCTTGAGCCTGGGCCTTGGCCTTGGCCGCGCGCTGCTCGGTGGTCTTTGAGGACTTGCGGAACCAGAACTTCTCCTTGCGGCAGGCGTCACGCTTTTGGGCCGTTTGCATATTCTCGTCCACCTTGCTGATCGGCGTGAGGAAGTTCAACTGGTAAGAGAGAATGACGCGGGTGAGCAGCACAACGAAACAGACGATGGCGGCGTTCTCAAAGTCACTGATCTGGGCCTCGCAGGGTCGGAACTCGACGCGCCAGCCAATGGAACTGTTTGGCGGAGGTGGCTTGAACCGCATTGTCTGCCAGTTGGTGGATTGAATGTTCTCGAAGTGGTCCGTGTCCTCGTTGTCGTTCTGATGAACCTTCTCGCTGAACAGCGATACCGTATCGCGGATGAACAGATGAGCCACGTGCTGGGCCAGCAGGTGATCAATGCCGCCATCCACCAGACGCTGGTACACCGCCTCGTCGTAGGTGATCGGCACATCGTTGTACTTGGCCCCCTCGGGTGACAGGTACGAGTCAATGGAATCGTAACGCGACTTGGCGATGCGGAACTTCTGCTTGTTCAGCGGCACCAGGCCGCGCTCCTCCTCCGTGCGACAGTCCACCGACGAGCTGATCACGTTCCAGCGGCAGTCCGATTCGGTCAGGTAGCCCCTATAGATGGGCGAAGCAGCAGTCAGGGCCAGCATGATGGGGCACAGTGGCGCTAGCTGATCGTACAGGCGACGGGCCTCTGTGATGTTGCAGGCCTGGAAGGTCAGCTGCAGGCAGCAGCAGCCCATGCCGAAGCCCATGGCGTCCAGCAAAACCACATCCGGCTCTCCAGGCGGTGCGCCCTCCACCGGCAGCTTTGTATTTACATCCTTGAATACTGAAAAGGTACAAAGATTAGTTTTCTGTATCTTTCAGGAAGAGATCTCGGGACTTACCCTTCAGCTTGATAGACACCTTCTCGCCACGTCGCTTGCGAATGTTCCGGGTAAGGGTCTTGAAGCGCGGATGGCCGGGGAAAATGGCCTCATCCGGGAAATACAAAGAGCGGGCCGAGCTAAGCGGATCCTCGGGACGCGGCTGGGCCAGCGGCCAGGTGAAGTTGCGAGCGCCCAGGCGCGGAAAATTGGTAATGGACATGACGCACTCATCCTTGGCCAGCAGCTCGGTGACCTCCTCGCGACGATAGCGCATATTGGCCTCCACTAGGTTGAAGTGGGCCATCAAACCGCCAAATGGCTTGCCGGGAGTACCCTCAATCATGTAGGCTCCATATTCGGGACGCCACAGTGACTTCACGCCCTTGGGATCGGCCAGCTCCTTCTCGTTAAGCTGGGCGAGCAGATCTTGGGCGCGCAGCGCCACACGTGCCACCTGTTGTTCGTCATCGAACTTGACAATGATGTACTCCACCTCATCGCCCCACTTGAGGATATCGCCCTGGCGGTCCTTCAGTCTGTGGTACAAGTTGATGAACTGATTGATGCCATGCTCCCGGACATGATTGGCCAGGGCTTCGGTCTCCTCCCAAGATAGTGGACTGCCCTCGCTAAGTAGACCCATAGTGCTGCAAGGAAGAGAAGAGCGAATTAGTGTTTAGTGTGTAAATTATTGTCTATAGATTCGATCCGATCTGGAGTGACGTTTGAGAGACTACTACGCCATACTATATACTATATCTACATACATATCTGCTTGAACATTGTGCAATCGGCACCGTCATCGTATTTGAGGCATAGAAAAAAATGCACTCAGTGCAGTTAGTCGCACTGAGCATTTCCATGGGGATTGCATAAACAATGTGACACGGAAAGAAAAGGGTGGTCAAATCGGGCATAGATTTGTATGTTTGACTCCCCACTAACAAAACTTGAGATTGTTTTGATGCCAAAGTCTTATCAACAAAATACATTCAATAAATAAATAAAAACACAGGCGGCAGGGAGCAGGTCTGGCTGCCACAAGTGGAACTATTGAGAGTTGAGTGTTATTTCTTTAAGGTATATCACATGTATTTATTCAACAATATATATAAATTCTAGTTTCGGTTAGCCGAATCCTATATACCCTGGCAGTTTCCAATTTAAATAGAGGATTGAATTAAAAATCAAGCGTATCCAAGCTTAAAATATTAGCATTCTTTAAATCGAATATCTATATTTTGCATGAAAATTTTTTTGATATTTCAAAGTTTAAAATATTCATAACTTAGCCAAAAATGCATTTATTTCACTTCGGAAAGCTGTTCTATACTAGTATTTATAAGGTTAATAAATCTGCATACTTAATTTAATTTATTTTAGAAAATTCCGATTTTTTTTTTCCGATTTAAATTAAATTTTAATGATGTTTTTTTTGATGTTTTTTTTTTTCTTTTAAATGGAATTTTTTGAAAATTTGTATATTCTGTCGGAGACAGCCAGAATAATTCGCCTGTTGATGCTGATCAAGAATATATATGATTTATGGGGTCGGAAATGAATACTTCACTGAGTTTGCAAACTTTTAACTTAAATTAAAATTATATTATTCAAAGTAAACCAATTAAAGTATGATACACATTTTTCACAGTGCAAGCACGCTTAACACTTCCACAACAGTCAATGCCCTGACATTCCGTTCCTCTACCTCCCACGAATTCCTCTGAATATTTGTGTTAATTATCTACGTAATATCTGGAATTGATACAGGTAGAGCTACAGATAGAGGTATAGCTACCTCCTCCTTGGTCTTGACACTAGCACAATTTACAACATTTGACTCAATTAATTGATAAGCGCAACGACCAAAATATTAATCAAATAATTGATAAGGCGAGCACCTTTTTTTATTTCCTTCTGACTCGCCGCCGTTCTTGGGTAGAATTCCACACACATGTGCTGCGATCGCATGCACAATATATTCTATATATACATATATATATATGTATATATATATTTGTATATATCTGGACTGACCGACAACGACAGGTTGCCGTGCGCCACTCGAACTGATTGAATCATAGCTTCGAGTCGGAATCGGAATCGGATTTGGATTCGGTTTTGGGAATGGAAATCGGAAATTTGGTAAAGATTTACGAGCTCGCGGTAGCCACTTCAGATGGAGAAGGAGGAGGAGCTATCTGCCAGCTTCCCTCTGGGTTTAGAGTTGGAGCTGATTGCCAGCAAATTATAGTGGACTGCAGGTCGAGTTCTTGACCCGATTGTGCAAGAGTTAATTATTTGCAAGCATTTGAAATGTAATTCGATTGTATTGCACTAGATCGGTTTGGTATAAGGTATATATATCGGATCAGAGAGCACATTGACTATTGTTGTATTATTATATTTTATTTGTTCTTGGGCTCTAGTTTAGTTTTATTATAAAATATTGATTTCAATTCGGTTAATTCTTGATTATTATCTTTATAGGAAATTACATATGAAATTTATAAAACAATCTAAGTTTCTATTATGAAGATTTCAATAAGGATTATTTATTTGTAGCTCTTATTGTCTTTATTAACCTGAAGAACAACTCTCATTAATATATTTGTGTATATTCTTCTCTTTAGGCATTCAAATTGTACGATTTTCCTATACCTTAGCAAAGCAATTTTCTTGTATTTTAATTACTATAACTAATTAGGATTAACTCTGATGAAATATTAGCCAAAACTAGATGGTTTTATTAAACCTATAATCCTATATATATTTACTTCTAATTTAAAGGATCTTTGTTATTATATTTTAAATCACTACAAAAGAAAATCAACATTAAGAAGCAAGAACAAATATTATTTACTCCAAACCATTTAACATAAATATGAAAAGAAAACCTCAACAATAACCTTGATCCTTTATATATATTCCTTATTATTAACTTAATTCCCAACTTTCAATTCACTTAAAAAAATAAATTACTGTTCACTTAAGATCACTTTCTTTTATAAAGGATTATACCTTTCTTTAACTCTTGATCTGTTAACACTGACGCGTTTCAATTAAAACAATTACGGAATGCTCCGATTTTAGGTTTATTGACTACTATTAACTAATAGCTGAAGGAAGCTTTTGCTTTTGGTCGCTCCACGGCCAACCGTTGACTAAATTTATACGCCGCCAGACTCCAGCTTATTAAAGACCGGAGCGGTCCGTCGCTGCCTCTGCCGCTGCCTCTGCCACCGTCAATCGTCAGTCCACAATCGTCAATCGGACGTCGTCAATCGGCTGACGACGCGTCGTCGAACCCGAAGAAACCATCGTCGGTGACTCCACCATGGTTGTTGGGAATACTACTACACAGAGCCAAAATAACCCTTAAATCTGAGACTTTCTTCTGTACTTTCAGATACTTCATCTGTTTGGTTACATTACATGGTTTAGATATATAGTTGTAGGTATATTTGTATATATAACTTTTGAAAATAAGTTGAAGAACTTAAATAATAAGCAACAAATGATAAGTGAATACCTTTTGTCAACAAAATAATTTCTTAGGTACTATATCTTACAGGTTAAATAATATCTTTTAGATATTTCGGTACTATACTCTTTTTAAATATAGTTTTAAGAACACGAATAATAGGCAAATAATGATATGGGTAAGGAAACTAAATGTTAGGATACATAACGCTCCTTTTTTAACCAGTTCTTCTCACAAATATTAATTATTAGGTACAGAAGATATAGATAATATAGAAGATATCGATCTATCGATCCCCATTCTTCAAGACTTTCTTAACCTACCCACTTTTCCTTACAGTGTCGGAAAGGGGAAAAAAAGGAAATGTAGGCTAAAACTAGAGCTAGAGTCAGAGCCATATCTGGTGACCGATCGCCGTATATGGATCATAAATGACCCATCCATCCATCCAGTCTAGTCCAGGCGGCAAATAGGTACAAGGAGCACGCGGGACGACGCACTTGAAACCATTTCGAGTGCTATTATAATTATTTGCTTAGAATTTATTATATTCAATCATACTCGCACTCGGACAGGTGAAAGAAATATATATTTATATATTTGTATTTCTTATTGATTTAGCAAATCAACCATTGAGCCTCCTGTAGAAGGGTTTATTATATATATATTTGTTATACATGTCGTATAAATATATATATTTATAGATTCCGCAGTTTTAGTCTTGATTTATCGCCACACTATAAAGATCTATAATAAAGATTGCGAACGGAAGGAGGCCGACCAGAGCGGGCGGACATATGTATTTGTCCACAAAATACTCGAGTTTCGGACGATCTGATCTGCATTGTAAATAACTGCCAATCAAGTTTCGGGAATTTTATAATATTCAATGCGATGGAGAGGAAACGCATAGATTTCAAATCGATTGCCCCCGTATATCAAGGTGCGATTTGGCTAAATTTGTACCTGATTCCATGATTGAAAGCCGAAAGCCAAGCGGTGCCTGGGTACTGCTTCCTCTGTAATCGGAGACGAGCCTGGTGGCCAGTTTCTCGTGAAACTCTGGCTCCGTCACATCGAAGAATTCCTGCCTCGCACAAAGGCGAACTTGGTACACCAGGTGAGTAGTACCTGGAACTGGGGCAATCGATACAAACTAGCCTAGACTGGCATTACTCAGAAGTGAGTGCAAAAACCATGTTTTGAAATTCAAAGGAAATGACATAAATATACCACATGTAGGATCTATACTTAGTTACTTAGTAAGTCTTTACCAACCACAATTAGTAATATTTGTATTATTGTTAGCTTTAGATCCGCTTTCAGCGATATTGCCCTATAAACTCAAGGATAACAAATAATTCATTTATACAGAAAGCTTTGCCTTATCAATTTTATTTGAATTCCTTCTAAACTTGAAACCTGCTCCTTTGAAATTTCCACTTGGCCAAAGGGGCTTATCATTATTTTTGATTTTATTATAACAGGGTAACCACCACACACACAAATACTAAATGCTAAATGCTAAATTCTAATCTCTCTCCATCAATCGTTGTGAATGGGCGCAAGGAGGGTTTATTTATACCAACTATTATTTGTCAGGGAACTTATCACTCTTTAAAACAAGTACCATATCACAGCACGGCAACCAATTGATTAGGAGGAGCTTGCTCGTGCTCTCGAGTGCTCCTCCAACTTGAAGATTTAGTATCTTTTGCGTTATTTTATTTCCCAAAAGCAAATAGGAGAAGGAAGACTTACTGCGACTGCAACTGCAATTGCAACTGCAACTGCAACTGCGATGCAAATGCGCTTAGATAAGTCTCAATTGCACAAGCTTGCAAGTATTTTATATGGCATACAGGGTTGGATAAGAGGGCCCCTTTAAGAGCCCTCCCCCTCAGTTGGTAATTGCATTTCTCAACGGGACAGAGGAATGCTTACGGCATCTCTTTCCTACGTTTTTATCTCTCACACTCGGGGATTAGGCAAATTACTGGGGATCAAGTGGAATTTTTCCAAGCTGATATACTATATAGCTGGAGAGTCTGCTGACTGGATTGAACAAAAAATAACCATTAATGGGGTTGAATTGTTGAAAGTTTTAAAGAGCCATGCCTAACTTGAGCATTCTAATTACTTATATTTCTTAAAGTAATTTGT